ATTGGCCCTCCAACTCTGACGAGTGGCTTTGTACCATGGTAATATGCTTAACCCGTTGCGCAGAGGTAAAAAAGACCCAGCTTTGAGGTGCTTACTTGGAAAAGGTATTAAGAGTTTGACTTATTACCTTCCATGCTTCCAAAGGGTGCTCAAAAAATAGTAATCATTATGTATTATGACACCTCCGATATCAGTCTTTATTTACAATCTGTATGCTGACTTTCCAAAGATGATTAAATACATCGTTTTATAGGAAGTTTATAAGATTCTTTAAAATAAAGTCAGAGTAATATGTATATGGTATAGTAATATGTATTATATATATTTACATATATATATGTATGTATATATTTTTTTACTCTAAAAAAAAGGGCAGAGAAAATACAACCACCCCAGAAACCAGGGATAAGTGGTTGTAGCAATTGAATAGTAAATGTAGCTGACATTCATATACTATTATATTGTTATTTAGCTTCTCTGTTATTTCAGATTTTTATATATTTATGTCATTTATTCCCAATTAAATTTTAACCCCAGGAAAGAGAGAACCTGTCTCATACTTTTTGTTGTCTTCCGTACCCCATTCCTTGAACATGACAAATACTCCATAAATGTTTTTGATTCTGACAATGTATGAATCTCTTGCATTTTCAAAAATTTATAAATCTTTTACATAATTGAGGGACGACATACTTGCTTCCTTGAATATCCATTTAATCTATATTTTTCTGGCTACACTATTCAGCCCTTGAAATGGATTCTAGTAATAACTGTTAGATCTGAGAAACAACACCCACAACTTGTAATGTGTTAGCGTCTCTCCATCACATCGCTGGGGCTGTTATTCTACGTGTAGGCATGTTCTCTAAAATCTTTGTTAGAGATGTCATGGAAGTGAAATTCTAAGGGTTTTGTGTGTGTGTGTGGACAATCTGAATGTTCCATTTTTCTGATGAATTTGTTACTTAATTTCCTGACACTATCAATTCACTTTGTCTATTCCTCTAGAGATCTGTTACTTAAACTTTTAGATGTGAAACAGCTTTAAGAATGCAAATATTTCTTTCCCCCTTTTTTTCATGAGCTTATTAGTAAAAGCACGTATTCCTTTTCACATTTTTATACTATATTTCATCCAACAAAAACATTTATAAATTTCCCTAACTTGAAACAGGTCAGACTGAAATTGGGCCTCCTACCAACAGACTAAAAGATGTAGAATTCACCAAAAGCACCTAAAACAACATATTTCATGGAATAAAAAACCCTAGGTTATTATATGGATGGCCTTGACCTCAGAGATGGATCATAAGGGCAGATGAAAAGGTTGAGGAGAGGGGAGAACACATTACTACTGTTTCTCAAAGGATATTCCAATAGTATTTCAGTTCCACAATTTTGTGTGCTGCTGTTTTTATTTTATTAGTAATTCTGATTTGCCCACACAAAACTTTCAACTTAGTTTACCCATTTAACCTGGAACAAAGTGAAAGCACATTTTGCCCAGTTGAAAGGTCTCCTGGCAAGTTGGTTAGCAACAGGCTTGCCATTCCTGGTTCAGTTAGCAAAGAATAAACACAATTACTAGAGTACTGACTTCATCACGCTGCAGTTTTTTTATATTCTTGAAGCATTTTTTCATGTTATTCAACTTTTTACTTGTAATTCTTGCCTCTTTAACAATATTTCTAATTTATTGAGGGTTTAAGTTTCTACATTTCTTTGTGGCCATAATTAACACAATTTAATTGCAAAGGACAGAAATCAAAGTTTATTTGAAGGTAGGAAAAGCAATACAGCAGTCTCACATCTTCCCTCGGTAGTTTGAAGTTGTGGCTTGATACGTAGCAATTAAGGAATCAGGCTAAGGCTTCTACAAGTATCAATTTTACTGTAACTCCCTGAAATTTGGTCACTTGGTAATGTCTTTACTTTTAACAGTGCAAGTTCATATGCGACAAGAGGGTTCTGAGAGAAATGCAGACGCTCTGCTCTGCCTGTAACAAGACGACGTGAGAATGACGCCCAGAAACTGTGCCTCACTGAGCCCGTCGCGTCCGCAGCGCCCCGATGTGCACCTGGAAACGGGACACCGCAGGACGAGGCAAGAACGTTCCTGAGTCCACTCCCCCGCGCTCGCGCAGGCGAAGACCTGGGCGTCGTCACCCGCAGCAGCGGGAGTCGAGGGAGCCACCTAATGCCGGACTCGAGTCATCTGTGTCCCTGAGAGCCCTGCCTCCCGAGAATACCTGCGTAACTTAAAGCGGCCAAGCCTCACTAAGTATATTTCAAAGTACATTTATGTCTATCACGGCACACATCGAAAAGCTTGCTCCGCACCCTCAGAGCGCGCGAGGCCTCCCAGCCTGGAAACAGGCCCCTCCCAGCGCAGCTGTCGCCGCCGCCTGCGGGCTCCTTTCACTTTCTCACGGCCAAGTCACCCAGAGGGGCGCCGCTGCCGCCACCGCCGCTGCGCCCGAGGACTCCGCCCCGCGCCGCTTCGCTACCGGCCCCCGCCCGCCCGGGCCACGCCCACTCCAACAGTTTCTGTTTGCGATTGGCACGCGCGAGCGGCAGCTCCGGCTGGCCTCTCCCATTGGTTGGGACCTCTTGTCAGTCCGACGATGGCCCGCCACTGCCCCGCCCTCCTGAAAAGTCACCTTTCTATTGGAGGAGACTGCGGCCTGGGGGCGGGCGGGGAGCGCCGGTCCAGGCGCTTTCGGTCAATCGCAGGAGCCCAACGCCGGGAGGGAGGGAGGCAGGGGGAGGAAAGG